AAAAACAGATTTTTATTACCATCATTAGGAGGGCACGTATGCGCAACACGCCCGTTTTTGACTATGCAATTTTTATTTGATCAGTGAAGAGTTAGATAGAAGTTTTCAGGTCTGCAAAGTTGGGAGTCTTGGGATAATGATTTGGAAGTGAAACACGAACAGATTAATCATCTTGTTTATGTGCCGGAGAACTTTGTTTTTTCTATACTTTCAGGGTTTGGTGTAAAAAACCTAACCGATGAGCTGCCAAACACGACAAAACTTTGTTTGACAATATATTTTGTCCTGCTGCGGTGCCTCAAGCTTCTTCAGGTGAATGTGAATGTTTCTATCCAAAATAAAGGTTGTAGGATGGGTTAGACAAATGACTACGTTGTTAGTCACTGCCCTTGATAAGGGGTTGCATAAGGTAAACCTACTTATTAGGCCTGTCGTGCCTCTACGCCTCACTTCTACGTACGGTTTGGCAAAGTGGATGCTTACTTAAGTTTCTGACGGAGACAGTCCATCAACAATAACAGCTTCCACAACTTAACACTCCTGGACGCATAGAAGACCTAAAACGGAAACCAGGTTAATTCATGGTAACCTCTGACGCCCCTCATTTCACACCTCTTCGCAAACCGCCAGTGGTGAACTCGTCTGATCTAAAGAAATGACGAGATTCTAGCAATTGAAATATGAATACCCTTCGAGCATCGACGACAGTGTCTTCAAACTCACCTCATATTCGATAGGCAGATGTATGAAAAAGAAGCAAGAAAGTACTAGCTCTACAGCCTCAGCTTTCGTTTCGCTAACTTTTGACTTAGGAAGCTTCATACAGTCAGTGACCGGTCTCATGAAATTGTAACCAAAGGTTTAACATCTTTTTGATTAGAAAGAATTACCCGGGTGAAATTGTAACATTGCTTAACCTTTGAGCATAATACTAAGATATTTTAGACACAAAAGGATGAAGACGTTTAGCTGAATATAGGAGAACCTCAGTCGCTGAAAAAGAACTATTGATGTGATGCATATTTTCTTCTATAGATTTTAGATGCCCCTACAAATTCAAATATATATTACAGCAAATGCAAGAAAAAATATTGTCTCTTGCACTTATTTGATAGCAATTCACGTCTTCTTTAATATTTTCACTAAAGGAAAAGCTATTTTGTTGGTTTCAAAAAGTGCCTAATTGTCGAGAGTTTTTAAGACTACAATTTTCATCCGAATTGCATCATATCTGTTCGTTTATTGCCGTCCCTCATGAAGTATAGATATAGTCCACATAATTTGCTAAGTTGTGTGGCCGCTATATTTTATCCTTTTATTACCCTATAAAAATATATGATATTGCTATATTTCATGCTGTCTGTATATCAGTGCATTCAGTTTTATCTAAACTGCGCATGAATAGAGTTATCAAGAACTACCGAACATAGCCCTCAAAATATAAACACACAAATCCCCCTATTGGATTGGCTAGGTACTTTATGCATTCAGATTCAGATTCAGCCGTCAAAAGTCAGAAAGGGTGGAATTGCCGTGACGTGACCTATATTTTCTTCAAAGATTTTAGCTTTTGTTGTTACTGCCAACAAGTATTTGGGAACAATCCGCTGGGAGGGAGGAAAACGAGGATGAGATGAGCGTCTTGTCAAGCAGACAGTAGAAAGGGATTTTTTCAACGTGCATCCTAGTACAGTCGACAAACATATATGCATTTTAAGTCAACTTACCGATTCCAAGAGATTAGGAACACGGGAAAGAAGATCCATCACCTGGTTATGCTTGATCGCATTTGGTCTCAGAATCGCCTTCGTAAATTTGTTAAGACCTACGAATGTTAAAAAAGATTTAAATATGTGACTTGCATTATTTTTTACTTATTATCATGTATCTTTATTGACAAGTGCCATGGATAAAAGTAAGGATTGTTGGGCATACTATACGCTGTTTAGTGCATCCTCTGACATTAAATATTCTCTGAACTTAAACATCTTCATGTTATTGCGGTAGCAATTTCAATTTTTGCATTCACATGTTCGCTATGATTGATGTTTTTCAAATAAATAGTTAGTTCACTGCGAAGATTGCGTGTTTACTGGCCTATTTAGGCCTTTGTACCTTGTAGGGATTCATCACAGTTGTAAATTTCAAAGGCATCGATTTATTTTCTGAGCATAATGCCAAGGCCCCTTGACAGTGTATTGCTTAAAATTTTCCTAGGGTTTGAATTTTCCCATGACCAATTTAATGTAAAAGAGAACATGTAGAGAAACAAACATTGACGGCAAAGACACGGGAGACTGGAATGTCAATTTCTAGCTCATTCAACGCCATCAGCCAATCATGTCCAATCCCAGGTAGCGCACCACCCGCAAACTGTTGATCAAAAGTCAGACGATCTAACCATGGACCCACGGGCTCGTTGTTTTGTCGGTTTAGATCAAGGATATTCACATTCGTTGATGAAAACTAACCGATCGGTCGCGAAACTCACTCGTCCCGTCCTGCCTGGTGACTCTTTTTCGAGTCCCATCAGCAGCCGTTCAACGGCTAGTAGTGTAAACAGATTAACAATGCTGGCAAAGACACGAGAGACCGGAATGACAAGTTCGCTCTCACAAGCCGTCATCTGTCCACACTACAAGCTGCTTTGCGGCTGCTAGCGGGGCTCTAGAGTAAGCACCAAGACAGAACAGGACGAGTGAGTTCCGTTAGCGATCGTTGAGCGTTCATAAAAGAACTAATAGAACAAAAAACCAACTTTTCATGCTGAAATGGCAGCTAAGAACAGCAAGACAGAAGCCATGCACCTACCCCAAACCATTAGGATGATTTTGAGAGGAACAAAATAGAAGAGGACCGTGAAAATTAGGAGGACCACCACCACCAGCCAGGAGACCCACGGAATCCTCCACTTGAATAACCTAAAAGGCACGAATATCATTAACTTCTGGGCATTTTCGGAAGAAGTACAATTAGAGATTTAGTGGAAAAGTCAAAGACAAGTGAGAGATGTTTATTTGAAAACAAAGTTGGCAGAGGATTATCTAGAATAAAGGCTGATAATTGTGACCCTAAGCGCGTTCGCGAAGCTGACAGGGGAAACAGCCCCTAGAAACAGCGAACCTGCCACAGTTTGCAGAGTTAGAACTGAATCAAAGGCAAATTACTGCTGTTTTCCTATGACACTACCTTATGAACTGCCCCAACGGAAGAAACGGCTATGTGGTTAGTTCAGTTCCTGCCCACTAGTCGTGACACAGGGTGGCTACTATTTTTTCCCTCTCATTTGACATTAGCGTACAAGCAAATGCGGATTTCGAGCTAAAACTGTCAAGATAATTAGGAGGATTGCAACATAAGACAGCAAAGCGATATGTCGTTCACTGTTCCATCGCTGCTATCGCCATCGCATTCAGCATCCTATCTTATGGGACCGGACAGTCAGTTTTAGAAGGCTCATTACGGCGGTTAATTATGGGCGTCCTGGAGGAAATCCATAAAGGTTTATTGAACTGATAAGTTTAAATGCAACAAGGGCTGCGTACCCCTCCATGCGTTCGTAGAATGATGCTGTGTTTTCAACAATGTCGAGTATGCTGGTTGTCGTCTCTTTCATGCGGTTGACTTTGGTTCTGATGGATTTTTTAGCTTGAGGCTACAAGAACGTGACAAATAGTTAGAAATGGGGAAAAATGTCTTCGGCGAATTCCTGAACAAACAGGACGGTCATTCAAACTAAGCATTATTTCTGGCCATTGTTCAAATTTTCATTTTCAATACGATCATTTACGTGTTCAAATTATATATAGGGTAGTTGGACTGCTCTCGTGGAGAATGCATTCCATAACTCTCACTTACCCGCCTATTGTATCTAGTAATTAGCATTGCTGGAAATTTTAC